CCGCTCCTCTGCGTCGAAAGGAGCCAGTTGAGGTGGTTCGGGTACCTAGAAAGGATGGGAGGAGACCGAGGGGTAGACCTAGGACCAGGTGGAGGGATTATATCTCTTCGCTGGCCTGGGAGCGCCTTGGGACCCCCAGTCAGAGCTGGTTGATGTGGCCAGGGAAAGGGACGTTTGGGGCTCTGCTAGAACTGCTACTGGGGAAGATGGATGGAAGTATTTAACAGGTCGTCTTCTTCAGGCATTTGTCGATAAAAGAAAAATGTGTATTTTAATCCAGATTATAAATCATGAAATCTGCTAATATGTTATGGATTTTATTAACTGGATATTGAATACACTCCATCAGACAGGAGGACGATATTCGTTTTAAGTAGGGCTGTCAGTCGATTAAAATAGTTAATCGCGATTAATCGCACATTTTTTATCTGTTCTAAATGTACCTTAGAGGAATATTTTTCAAGTTTTTAATACTCTTATCAACATATGAGTGGACAAATATGCTTTATGCTAATGTTTGTTATCATTTGAACAATGACAAATATTCTCATGAATATTAAACACAACAACCTGTGTGTGTGTGTGTGTGTGTGTGTGTGTGTGTGTGTGTGTGTGTGTGTGTGTGTGTGTGTGTGTGTGTGTGTGTGTGTGTGTGTGTGTGTGTGTGTGTGTGTGTGTGTGTGTGTGTGTGTGTGTGTGTGTGTGTGTGTGTGTGTGTGTGTGTGTGTGTGTGTGTGTGTGTGTGTGTGTGTGTGTGGTGTGTGTGTGTGTGTGTGTGTGTGTGTGTGTGTGTGTGTGTGTGTGTGTGTGTGTGTGTTCGTTGGAGCTATGTGCAACTCAAGGCATATGCTCGAACGGGAGCTGCCTGGACGCTGCAATCATGTTGCGCACTATCCGTGCTGAGTGTGCTGACTTTTCGTACAATGTCCCACTGTCTGGCTTCCTGCATAAAGTCAAGTGCTCGGCGCAGTTGTGGCGAAATGTCGCTCCTCTGTTTTCATTGAAACAGCTCCTTAGATCCGTTAGCGCAGCTAGCTAGCACCAGATGCTAACAACAACAATGCACGTAAGGTCTCTCTCTCGCTCGCTCGTGCCACACATACACACACCCTCCCGGTCCTCCAGATGGCCAGTCGGTGCCTGCCGGTGAGCGTGGAAGTGTGGTCTGCCACAAACGGGCGGCAGGAGCGGGGCTGTCAGCATCAGCTTGTAGATGGTATTTTAAACTCTATGCGCTCTGAAACTACGGGGCGGCCGAGGAAAAAAATACACATGCGTTAATCGCGTTAAAATAATTAGTGGCGTTAATTTTTTTTTGCGTTATTAACGCGTTAACTTGACAGCCCTAATTTTAAGACATTCTCAAACTCCTCTCAGTCGTTTAGTTACTCAATTAGTGAATCATCAAAAAGCAAACACTCCCCTTCAGTTCTGAAATCAAAAACGTAATCAAACAGCGATGACACCGACACACATTTCACTTTTTGGTCAAACGCCCCTTTTTCTTTTTTTATCGACAGATAATTAAAGGAGAATTAAAATAAAACTGACTTTAAGTTAGCAGAAAATAAGTAAATGGTGAATAATAGAAACGTGATATGTTCTGGGTTTCACGGATTGATTTCCTGGTTATTTATGTGAGAAAACCTTTTGAAATGGGACTTTTCATAACACAATATTTCATTTCCCACCATTTTAATTAATAAACAAGTCCTTACATAAGATTTCCATTGAAAATAGTTGAATTCTATATCGGTTCATTTAAATATTTCAATTAATTCATTGTCTTGTAATCATATTGGACCTTTTGGTGTCTCACAGACCCTTGTCAATTAACTACGGGGGTCCCTCAGGGCTCTGTTCTTCGTCCCCTCCTCTTCTCCCTGTACACAAACTCGCTCGGATCAGTCATTAGCCCGCATGGTTTTTCTTACCACTGCTACGCTGACGACACCCAATTAATTCTGTCCGTTCCCCGCTCAGAGACCCAGGTCGTCGCACGCATCTCTGCTTGTCTAGCTGACATCTCTCAGTGGATGTCTGCTCACCACCTCAAGCTCAACCTTGACAAGACTGAGCTGCTCTTCCTCCCGGGAAAAGATTGTCCCACTCTTGACCTAACAATCAACATCGGCACCTCAGTTGTTTCCCCGACTCAGACTGCAAGGAATCTGGGTGTGACCCTAGATAACAACCTGTCCTTCACTGCAAACATCGCTGCTACAACCCGTTGCTGCAGATACACGCTTTACAACATCAGGAAGATACGTCCCCAGCTGACTCAGAAAGCGACTCAGGTTCTGGTCCAGGCTCTCGTCATCTCACGCCTAGACTACTGCAACTCCCTCCTGGCTGGTCTACCTGCATGTGCCATCCGACCTCTGCAGCTCATCCAGAATGCAGCGGCTCGTCTGGTCTTCAACCTTCCTAAATTCTCCCACACCACTCCGCTCCTCCGCTCCCTTCACTGGCTTCCGGTAACTGCTAGAATCCACTTCAAGACACTGGTACTTGCTTACCGTGCTGCGAATGGATCTGGCCCTTCCTACATCCAGGACATGGTTAAACCGTACACCCCAGCGCGTGCACTACGCTCTGCATCAGCCAAACGACTCGTTGCGCCCTCGCTGCGAGGGGGACCCAAATTCCCATCGGCGAAAACACGTGGGTTTGCTATCCTGGCTCCAAGATGGTGGAATGAGCTCCCCATTGACATCAGGACGGCAGATAGCTTGCACATCTTCTGGCGCAGACTGAAAACTTATCTCTTTCGACTCCACTTCGAGCGATAGATTTATTAACGAAGCACTTTTATACTAATAAAGGACTGGCTTACCTAAAGCCAGTTGAGTAGCACTTGAAATGTTTGGCTCTATGAAACCTGATGTACTTATATGATTCTGTTTTCTTCAAGGTTGTGTCTTCCTGGTCGAATGTACTTATTGTAAGTCGCTTTGGATAAAAGCGTCAGCTAAATGCAATGTAATGTAATACATTATTACACATAAGTAAATAAAAGTTACTCAACTTTGGAAGACCTCTGGACGCTCCTTCAAATCTGACCACACATATACAGCTCCTTTTTAAAGATGACCTGGAGCAGTGAGGGATTCTTTGTTCTCTTAATGTTAAAGCTGAGAAGACGTGGACTGATGATTTCCCACTGATTAACAGCAGAACTTGTTTAAATCACACTTCTGATTGTGCACTTGCTGAACGCTAGGGTCTAGGGATGCATTTATATAAACAAAATGACAGAGATGGTCAGCTAGCTCACATATTGTGTAACAGTAAAGTACAGGGTATAAGCAGGAATCCTGAAGTCAAATGTAAAAGCTTTTAAGACCTTTTTTAAGACCCTTTCCATACATTTTAAAACCTCATCGCCACTTTGAGTTTTAACCGGTTCCCTTGGCGACACACTTTACCTCACATTGACCAGTCAATACGACTGCCCTTCCTCCTTATCTTCCAACAGGGGCGGACTGGTGCTACAAATCCCCTGGTGCTAGTAGGCTTGTTTGAGACGCGTTGCGGCTCGCCTCGAAAGTAGACGAGAATAGCCGATCGCAGATCGGGGGAGGTCTCAAAAAGCTCGCCTAAAGTCGGACAGCTCGGAGTCCATGCTCGGAGTCGGCTTCGTCTTCTTCTTCTTCTCTCGGTTTTTTTGGCGGATTGCAAACAACTTTAAGGTGCATACCGCCACCTCCGGAGTCGGCTTGACTCGGTTTGCATTTATAAAGAATGCACACATGTGTTTAATCGTTAATGTCAGATATGTACTAAGTAAATACATTTGTTCCTGCTCCAGATTAGATTCAACTTTATTGTTATTGCACATATTACAGGTACTGAGACAACGAAATTCAGTTTAGCTTCTAACCAGGTGCAACAAGCAGTAAAGTGAAAAGTAATGTACACAATCTACAGAATAACATATAGAATGAATTGAATGATGAATAAACAGTGAGGGGTATGAATACACTAGATATACACAGCAGCCTGAGAGCAGTATGAACAGTGTGTATGAATATGCTAAGATATATAAAGTATGAAACGGTAAGCAGTGCAAGTATAGTATAAAATATATGGATATTAATTTCATGATGATAAATATTGTGGAACAATGATGAAAAATGTGAATGGATGTGGCGACGTAAAACTGACACAAAACAACAACATTTTGCCGAGCCAATTGGAGAGTTTCATCAGCAGCACGTGGTAAAAACCACCAATGAGCGCTCAGCTCGAGATACCAGCGAGTCGTTTCCCATCAAGCATTTCGCTTCCGCAGCCCGTGGAGAGGAACTGCGCCGCCTCGCCGCACCGCGCCTCGCCGCGCCTCGCTCTCAAGGCTGCGGGCGTCTTTGTCCCGCGAGATTTCAACGTCTCATGTAGGCGGGCCTCCAGAGCAAGTCGGACAAAATGACTAACCATCATGCAACGCACGAGCAAGACGTTGATCGAAATTGCGCAGGTCTGCGCAGGTCTTGCTTGTCTCAAACAAGCCTAGTGACTTATCCGACCGGCCCACATCGTCCGACCAGCTCACTTCAGTACCGGCCCATCGGGATTAGTACCGAACTGTCTTCCAACCATTTGGACGCAGTTTTGCATTTCCCCATAACGATGTTGTTTAACAACCGGCGTAAACGGACCTTCGCGCGCTATCAAGCAGTGCCAGTGAGCGCGCGATGTCCTGTTCAGATGACGTCAAACCCAACGGGATGCCATCAATAAACTACACAGAATCACACTACACACCTACGCCATGACTACATTCAGGCAGACTGTAGAACACAACCTCTTTGGACCATTTATATACTTATTGAAAACAAGCTACAAAATGTAATACCTTGGAAAATGCCGTTTAATACATTTTCGCTAAATTGATTTATCAACTTGTAATACTTTTTAAGACCCCGCGGACACCCTGAAGTAAGATTCACTCCAACAGACGTTTTCACAGCTCCTCTAATAAAGATCACTTTACAAACTTGGTAGGTAACCCCAGCTTTTTATTTTTCACAGCGACATGTAGACAGAGAGCCAAACACACACTCAGTGCCTCAGACAGTTTTTCATTCAAAAATAAAAGACAGTTAGATTTGTTTCCACATGATTCCTCTCGCAGGTCAGCGAGTGCAGTGAGAAGAGGGAGCTAAACAGCTGTATGCTTGCAGTTACTCACTTAAATACAAATAGTATAAGAAGAGCAGAAAGTGTTTGTTTTGGAAGATGACCTCTTACAATAGCGTTGTTGTGTCCATGGTTGCAAAAAGATGTGAAACAAAGATGGTATTGACTACATTGAGTATAAACTACTAAACGTTTTAACGGAACAAAAGGTGCTGAAAGACGGCAGCAACACCGAGCTGTGTTGAATAAGAACTGTAGTGAGTTTACTAAACCCTTTTATAATTATCTCCTCGGGTCATTCCCATCTCCCCGGAGAAACGGGAAGTTTGTTATCATTAAAAATCAAAACACCCTAAACACACAGTCCCAAACCAACAACAAAATTAATGGTTAAATAATATAATCTTAGAATAATTGAGCAGGGGAAGAGTTTGCAGTTTGGCGCAGTCCGTCTGGTTTTAAGACTGGATGGGGGGGGGGGGGGGGGGGGGGGAGGTTTTTTTTTGGAATCAGCCCGCCTCTGGAAACCGGCGCCCTCGAGGTAGAGGTGAAGGAAGGAGGCGGCGTTCCTCTTTCTGTGTGTGTGTGTGTGTGTGTGTGTGTGTTCGTTTGTTCTCTTTGTATGGGTGCAGGATCAGTCCAGCTCGATGGGGCTGCTGTCCTCCTGCGCCTCCTCCGCTCCGTCCTCCTCCTCCCCCGACCCCATCAGGCTGTTCAGCAGGTTTCCTGAGGACCAATCACAGCGAGCGTCAGTCTGTGCATATCATACTGCTTCTTGTAGAGATTTGTATTTCTAAAAATAGGTTTGAATATCAATATATTTTTGTATATGTAAGGTGTATATCAGTATGTAGTGTCTCTACTTTAAAGAGTCCTCTCCTGCTGATGTTCAGGTGTATATCAGTATGTAGTGTCTCCACTTTAAAGAGTCCTCTCCTGCTGATGTTCAGGTGTATATCAGTATGTAGTGTCTCTACTTTAAAGAGTCCTCTCCTGCTGATGTTCAGGTGTATATCAGTATGTAGTGTCTCTACTTTAAAGAGTCCTCTCCTGCTGATGTTCAGGTGTATATCAGTATGTAGTGTCTCTACTTTAAAGAGTCCTCTCCTGCTGATGTTCAGGTGTATATCAGTATGTAGTGTCTCTACTTTAAAGAGTCCTCTCATGCTGATGTTCAGGTGTATATCAGTATGTAGTGTCTCTACTTTAAAGAGTCCTCTCCTGCTGATGTTCAGCTGTATATCAGTATGTAGTGTCTCTACTTTAAAGAGTCCTCTCTTGCTGATGTTCAGGTGTATATCAGTATGTAGTGTCTCTACTTTAAAGAGTCCTCTCCTGCTGATGTTCAGGTGTATATCAGTATGTAGTGTCTCTACTTTAAAGAGTCCTCTCCTGCTGATGTTCAGGTGTATATCAGTATGTAGTGTCTCTACTTTAAAGAGTCCTCTCCTGCTGATGTTCAGGTGTATATCAGTACGTAGTGTCTCTACTTTAAAGAGTCCTCTCCTGCTGATGTTCAGGTGTATATCAGTATGTAGTGTCTCTACTTTAAAGAGTCCTCTCCTGCTGATGTTCAGGTGCATATCAGTATGTAGTGTCTCTACTTTAAAGAGTCCTCTCCTGCTGATGTTCAGGTGTATATCAGTATGTAGTGTCTCTACTTTAAAGAATCCTCTCCTGCTGATGTTCAGGTGTATATCAGTATGTAGTGTCTCTACTTTAAAGAGTCCTCTCCTGCTGATGTTCAGGTGCATATCAGTATGTAGTGTCTCTACTTTAAAGAGTCCTCTCCAGCTGATGTTCAGGTGTATATCAGTATGTAGTGTCTCTACTTTAAAGAGTCCTCTCCTGCTGATGTTCAGGTGTATATCAGTATGTAGTGTCTCTACTTTAAAGAGTCCTCTCCTGCTGATGTTCAGATGTATATCAGTATGTAGTGTCTCTACTTTAAAGAGTCCTCTCCTGCTGATGTTCAGGTGTATATCAGTATGTAGTGTCTCTACTTTAAAGAGTCCTCTCCTGCTGATGTTCAGGTGTATATCAGTATGTAGTGTCTCTACTTTAAAGAGTCCTCTCATGCTGATGTTCAGGTGTATATCAGTATGTAGTGTCTCTACTTTAAAGAGTCCTCTCCAGCTGATGTTCAGGTGTATATCAGTATGTAGTGTCTCTACTTTAAAGAGTCCTCTCCTGCTGATGTTCAGGTGTATATCAGTGTGTAGTGTCTCTACTTTAAAGAGTCCTCTCCTGCTGATGTTCAGGTGTATGTCAGTATGTAGTGTCTCTACTTTAAAGAGTCCTCTCCTGCTGATGTTCAGGTGTATATCAGTATGTAGTGTCTCTACTTTAAAGAGTCCTCTCCTGCTGATGTTCAGGTGTATATCAGTATGTAGTGTCTCTACTTTAAAGAGTCCTCTCATGCTGATGTTCAGGTGTATATCAGTATGTAGTGTCTCTACTTTAAAGAGTCCTCTCCTGCTGATGTTCAGGTGTATATCAGTATGTAGTGTCTCTACTTTAAAGAGTCCTCTCCTGCTGATGTTCAGGTGTATATCAGTACGTAGTGTCTCTACTTTAAAGAGTCCTCTCCTGCTGATGTTCAGGTGTATATCAGTATGTAGTGTCTCTACTTTAAAGAGTCCTCTCCTGCTGATGTTCAGGTGTATATCAGTATGTAGTGTCTCTACTTTAAAGAGTCCTCTCCTGCTGATGTTCAGGTGCATATCAGTATGTAGTGTCTCTACTTTAAAGAGTCCTCTCCTGCTGATGTTCAGGTGTATATCAGTATGTAGTGTCTCTACTTTAAAGAGTCCTCTCCTGCTGATGTTCAGGTGTATATCAGTATGTAGTGTCTCTACTTTAAAGAGTCCTCTCCTGCTGATGTTCAGGTGCATATCAGTATGTAGTGTCTCTACTTTAAAGAGTCCTCTCCAGCTGATGTTCAGGTGTATATCAGTATGTAGTGTCTCTACTTTAAAGAGTCCTCTCCTGCTGATGTTCAGGTGTATATCAGTATGTAGTGTCTCTACTTTAAAGAGTCCTCTCCTGCTGATGTTCAGATGTATATCAGTATGTAGTGTCTCTACTTTAAAGAGTCCTCTCCTGCTGATGTTCAGGTGTATATCAGTATGTAGTGTCTCTACTTTAAAGAGTCCTCTCCTGCTGATGTTCAGGTGTATATCAGTATGTAGTGTCTCTACTTTAAAGAGTCCTCTCATGCTGATGTTCAGGTGTATATCAGTATGTAGTGTCTCTACTTTAAAGAGTCCTCTCCTGCTGATGTTCAGGTGTATATCAGTATGTAGTGTCTCTACTTTAAAGAGTCCTCTCATGCTGATGTTCAGGTGTATATCAGTATGTAGTGTCTCTACTTTAAAGAGTCCTCTCCTGCTGATGTTCAGCTGTATATCAGTATGTAGTGTCTCTACTTTAAAGAGTCCTCTCTTGCTGATGTTCAGGTGTATATCAGTATGTAGCGTCCTCTACTTTAAAGAGTCCTCTCCTGCTGATGTTCAGGTGCATATCAGTATGTAGTGTCTCTACTTTAAAGAGTCCTCTCCTGCTGATGTTCAGGTGTATATCAGTATGTAGTGTCTCTACTTTAAAGAGTCCTCTCCTGCTGATGTTCAGGTGTATATCAGTATGTAGTGTCTCTACTTTAAAGAGTCCTCTCCTGCTGATGTTCAGGTGCATATCAGTATGTAGTGTCTCTACTTTAAAGAGTCCTCTCCTGCTGATGTTCAGGTGTATATCAGTATGTAGTGTCTCTACTTTAAAGAGTCCTCTCCTGCTGATGTTCAGGTGTATATCAGTATGTAGTGTCTCTACTTTAAAGAGTCCTCTCCTGCTGATGTTCAGGTGTATATCAGTAAGTAGTGTCTCTACTTTAAAGAGTCCTCTCCTGCTGATGTTCAGGTGTATATCAGTATGTAGTGTCTCTACTTTAAAGAGTCCTCTCCTGCTGATGTTCAGGTGTATATCAGTATGTAGTGTCTCTACTTTAAAGAGTCCTCTCCTGCTGATGTTCAGGTGTATATCAGTATGTAGTGTCTCTACTTTAAAGAGTCCTCTCCTGCTGATGTTCAGGTGTATATCAGTATGTAGTGTCTCTACTTTAAAGAGTCCTCTCCTGCTGATGTTCAGGTGTATATCAGTATGTAGTGTCTCTACTTTAAAGAGTCCTCTCCTGCTGATGTTCAGGTGTATATCAGTATGTAGTGTCTCTACTTTAAAGAGTCCTCTCCTGCTTATGTTCAGGTGTATATCAGTATGTAGTGTCTCTACTTTAAAGAGTCCTCTCCTGCTGATGTTCAGGTGTATATCAGTATGTAGTGTCTCTACTTTAAAGAGTCCTCTCCTGCTGATGTTCAGGTGTATATCAGTATGTAGTGTCTCTACTTTAAAGAGTCCTCTCCTGCTGATGTTCAGGTGTATATCAGTATGTAGTGTCTCTACTTTAAAGAGTCCTCTCCTGCTGATGTTCAGGTGTATATCAGTATGTAGTGTCTCTACTTTAAAGAGTCCTCTCCTGCTGATGTTCAGGTGTATATCAGTATGTAGTGTCTCTACTTTAAAGAGTCCTCTCCTGCTGATGTTCAGGTGTATATCAGTATGTAGTGTCTCTACTGTGACATGTCTCCAGGCTTTAATTTTCAAAAAGCACTTTATTTTTCTGATTGGTTAGCTGGCCGGCTCTGTTGCGATTGGTCGACCACTTAGAGATGTCTCACCCTATAGCCTATCACGTACAATGTGTTGGAGCGTGTTTAGTTTGGTGGAACAGGAATACTTGAATTCAGATAATGTACTATTTAATAACTGAAATTCTTCCTCTCTTGACACAGTTTATTTATGAGACTCGGATTTAAGGTCGGGTGTGGCCGCCTGGGAAAAGCCTATCGCTGGTACTGAGATGACAGGAACTTGTGTGTAAATAATCCCAAACATTTGCTTTAAAGTGTTGGTTTTCCACTCACCTAGCAGTCCTCCGTATGATGGGGACTGTTTGGGAGGAACGCCAAAGAAAACCTGTCCTATTCTGTCGAGATACTGAGGAGCCATCAGAGATCCAGAGGGAGAGGAGCAGAGGGACAGGTTGTGAGTCAAACAAAAAGCAGCCGAACACATATTATCCAAGCATCACACACATACATATATTTAGGGATATTTAAGATATGATTTAGAGCAGGGTTTTCAAAGTGTGGGAAGGTGAGCCTCCCCTCAGAGAACAGCCACGCCCCCCCTCCCAATTAGTATTGCTATTATTATTGTTGTTGTTGTTGCTATAATGCAGGTATTCAATTGCATTTCAAAGAGGTCTAGGAAGAGAAGATGTCATTAAATGCTCTGTTTTCTCCGTCTCCTTTCTCTTTTTTGAGCACGCCATTTGAAGTTACTCCGACTGTTTCTCTCTTCTCGTCTCGTCTCTGTGTTTGAATCTACCGTGCTGACTCACTGACTGCATCCATTTGATTGGCTAAGTAGCGTCACCTCCTTAAAACATTAAACAACATATTTTTATCTTTTAAACATTTTCAACATGGTGGATAAATCCTCGCTCCCGGCAACACACTGAACGTCAACTTTGCCTCCTTATTACACTCAGCCCTACTTTAGTGGGAACAATGAGTCTGCGTCTGTGATGCGCACAGGCGGGTGATGCGGGGATGCAATGTAGACGGGAATAAACGCAGATCCTCCTCCGGCTGCAGCCTTGACCCGTACTTGCTTTTCATCAAAGTAAGAATTATTTAAATAAAGGGCGTTGCCGGCCGTCAGCGAACCGAGCCGGCCGTCCGTCCGTCAACGCCTCGCTGACGACCCGCTTGTTCTCACGCTGCGCCTCCCCTGAAGCTCTCCGCCTCACACTTCGAAAACCGCTGATTTAGAGTATGAAACAAGTGAGCGTCAACACTCACCTCATTATACATGGGGTCCCTCTTCAGGGAAGGTTGATATTGCTCACATAACACTGTGAAAACTGTTAATTTACCCCTGAAGAAACAAAGAGAACAAGCCATATTATACAATGCATTATTACCCTCAAGACACAAACAATTTACTGCTCTTAAAAAGTAGTCTATAGCTCAAGGTGGGTTGGTTTTGATGATTTTAATGCCACCTTAGATTCATTTTAAGGCCAACTTTAAACAAGACGTAAGAAAAAAGACTACATTTATGATGCCAAATGCTTCCTGCTCAAAATACACTGCGCCTCATATACATACACTTCCACTGCCTGCTTCCACTTTCAGACATGTTTTTTAAATTAAATGTGCACTTCCCTTATAATTCTGACCGTTAAGGCAAGAGGCATTTGTTAAATTATTCAAAATAATAAATAAAATAAAGATGTGACCAATTTGCTTTCTGTGATTTAAAATTGCAATATTAAGTTTTTAAAAAAGATTAATAAAATCTCTTTGAAGACTTTTGAAATATTGATTGAATACATTTTAACACCAGGAATATAAATATACACACACACACACACTCTTTGAAGACTTTTGAAATATTGATTGAAGACATTTTAACACCAGCGATGAATTGTTGCATTTTAATAAATCCAATAAGGTTTTTTTAAGGATCTGCAGGAACCACGCCTTGCTTTGTTGAGATGAATGCTGCAGGAGGAAGTCAGCTAATGCTATCTTAATTAGCTTATAACATGCCCAGAGCTCACTGCTGAGGAATCTGCACACATGTACAACAGAGTAAGAGTAATGGTACATGGAATTGAGTAAATTAAATATATCTAAGTGTGAATGCAACACATAGGACTCACCCATCCACTGCCAGCAGCAGAAACCAGATAAAGTTTAGTAGGGGCTGGACGAAGGGAGGGCCCTTCTCTATGGACGGGTGTTTCTCTGTGTATGTGCTGAACACCACGGAAGCACCACTTTTGTTCTTTAAGCAGAGGAACCTGCAGCGAGGAGGATCACAGGAGACGGGGATAGAAAAGGGAGGGAGAGGGAAGATTAAGGGAGAGAAAATGATTCAGAAAGCGGGACACGGAGGAAGAGGAACAGAGATAGAGATCAAACGCTTTACAGAAAATGCTGACCGACAGAAATGGACACAGACTGGAGGAGGATGCATCAACAATACTACTTTCTCCACAAACAGAATCCAAATTCCACTTTTGATAGTAAGGATTATTCCTGCACTCATTTCGAATACACAGTCTTTTTGTTTGACTAAATGGTCAAGGCTTTAGCTTTTAAAAGGTCCCCTATTATACCGTTTGTCATCAATATATCACAGCTCTCAGATATATACAGAACCTGTCTCTGATTGGCTGAAACACCAAACAGATCATTGCAGCATTACCCATAATCCCCTCTGTTTCAGCCCTGTTTCAAAAAAGTGCTGATTCTCCGTCTGTTACTTTAGAGGAAAATAAGGAGCCCCTCCCCACGCCCCCCTGAGAGAGATTTGGTTACAAAGAACTCAATGGTGCTCTAGGAGGAGATTCAGGTGATAAGGGGGGGGGGGGGGGGGGGGGGGGGGGGGGGGGGGGGGGGGGGTTACCTTGGTTGCTGATTGGCTAATGGTTACACAAGCCAACACATCGTTATGACATCATAAAGTGGCCAAAATCTGATCAGCTCATTTTCAGACAGGTTTTTATAGAAATGGATCAAAAAGAGAGAGAATCTTTGTTCCTGAAACTTTCAGGGTCTCTTTTCACTGAGGGGACACATGTTGATGTAGAAGAGACATGAAGAAGAGGGGACACATGTTGATGTAGAAGAGACATGAAGAAGAGGGGACACATGTTGATGTAGAAGAGACATGCAGAAGAGGGGACACATGTTGATGTAGAAGAGACATGAAGAAGAGGGGACACATGTTGATGTAGAAGAGACATGAAGAAGAGGGGACACATGTTGATGTAGAAGAGACATGAAGAAGAGGGGACACATGTTGATGTAGAAGAGACATGAAGAAGAGGGGACACATGTTGATGTAGAAGAGACATGAAGAAGAGGAGACACATGTTGATGTAGAAGAGACATGAAGAAGAGGGGACACATGTTGATGTAGAAGAGACATGAAGAAGAGGGGACACATGTTGATGTAGAAGAGACATGAAGAAGAGGGGACACATGTTGATGTAGAAGAGACATGAAGAAGAGGGGACACATGTTGATGTAGAAGAGACATGAAGAAGAGAGGACACATGTTGATGTAGAAGAGACATGAAGAAGAGGGGACACATGTTGATGTAGAAGAGACATGAAGAAGAGGGGACACATGTTGATGTAGAAGAGACATGCAGAAGAGGGGACACATGTTGATGTAGAAGAGACATGAAGAAGAGGGGACACATGTTGATGTAGAAGAGACATGAAGAAGAGGGGACACATGTTGATGTAGAAGAGACATGAAGAAGAGGGGACACATGTTGATGTAGAAGAGACATGAAGAAGAGGGGACACGTGTTGATGTAGAAGAGACATGAAGAAGAGGGGACACATGTTGATGTAGAAGAGACATGAAGAAGAGGGGACACATGTTGATGTAGAAGAGACATGCAGAAGAGGGGACACATGTTGATGTAGAAGAGACATGAAGAAGAGGGGACACATGTTGATGTAGAAGAGACATGAAGAAGAGGGGACACATGTTGATGTAAAAGAGACATGAAGAAGAGGGGACACATGTTGATGTAGAAGAGACATGAAGAAGAGGGGACACGTGTTGATGTAGAAGAGACATGAAGAAGAGGGGACACGTGTTGATGTAGAAGAGACATGAAGAAGAGGGGACACATGTTGATATAGAAGAGACATGAAGAAGCGGGGACACATGTTGATGTAGAAGAGACATGAAGAAGAGGGGACACATGTTGATGTAGGAGAGACATGAAGAAGCGGGGACACATGTTGATGTAGAAGAGACATGAAGAAGAGGGGACACATGTTGATGTAGAAGAGACATGAAGAAGAGGGGACACATGTTGATGTAGAAGAGACATGAAGAAGAGGGGACACATGTTGATGTAGAAAGAGACATGAAGAAGAGGGGACACATGTTGATGTAGAAGAGACATGAAGAAGAGGGGACACATGCTGATGTAGAAGAGACATGAAGAAGAGGGGACACATGTTGATGTAGAAGAGACATGAAGAAGAGGGGACACATGTTGATGTAGAAGAGACGTGAAGAAGAGGGGACACATGTTGATGTAGAAGAGACATGAAGAAGAAGATTTTGCACAATAGGTGACCTTTAAAATACAAGAATACAAAGTAAGGGATATTGTAGTTTCACTCACTGTAGGACGGCCTGCGCCACAAACATGTCGACCTCGCTGCGGAAGCCTCGTGACGCTGAATACTCGACCAGCATCTGTGCGCAGCCCTCACCGTCAGTCGAGTGCAGGAAGTGGTAACGAGACTCACTGTAGTTTTGTTCTGAAGAAACAAAGTTATTACATATTTAAACTGATTCCCTTTGAATGGTGCTGAGTTATGAGCAGCACAAACACCCCGGTCTTTTCAAATGCTACATAGCTTGTGAGCAAACAGTCAGATGGTAATTTGGGAGGAAGTTGGGACACGTGTGCTGTGATTCATTTGTCATCGACACATCAGTCATCCATATTCTTTTTTTAATGAAGTAGGAAATAATTACAATTTACATGTGAACTTGTTCTAAAAGTGACGCATTTCTCTTCAAATAAGTGCTGTGTGGTGGATCTTATAAAAGCCGATGTGAAGCTTGGTTTATTTAGATTTTAAAAAGTAATTGATACAAATGAATCACCTTAACCCTTAGAGGCATAAGTGGGTCTTTTTTGACCCGGTGAGGTGGTTTTATTGAAGTATCTTTGTAATTACATTTTTTTATCATTTCATATTCCAGCTATTCCTCAAAAAACATGTTTTGGATATCATGCCATTCACATTTTAAATTTAAATAAATTGTAGTTTTTGTATTTCTACCCCAAGCTTCCATAAGTGGGTCAAAAATGACCCGCATGCATTTCCTATGGGAACCTTTAATTCCTATCACCTGTTGCTGTCAGGAATACATTCACTGTGGACCACACAGACGACATCACAAGTGACACCTCTCAGGAAGATTATTTTACACAGCAAGATCTGATACCTGTCAGTATGATAATAATAATACATTATATTTGTATAGGGCTTTTCAAGGACTCAACATCGCTTTACAATATAAGGGAAGGTTAGGGTGGGGGGGTATAGGACTATCAAACTTGATGGCATGGATTGATGGGGGGGGGGGGGGCTATGAGTAGACAAGAGGAGAAGAGATGAGTTTTGAAAAGGGACAGGAATACTGTGAGGGTCTCAGAATAGCGGAGATCTTTGCCTCGATATGTTAAAAATGTTTTTTTTCAAAATGTAAACAATTTTTCTAAAATTATAAATAGTGAAACATTTAATATAAAATATTTCTAATGTGAACCAAAATATAATACAAGTTTTTTTTTTAACCAAAATGACAAAAATGGCATAAAAACACATTATTCTAATACAGGTCCTTTTTGACCCACTTATGGAAGAGTGTAGGGTTCAGTCACTCGGGCATCTAAGGGTTAAACAAATGTGGCGGTAGATTGACTGTTTGATTGGGTTAGCTTTAGTCAACTTGCGGCCTACAGTATATAGACTTTTTGCACTACTTTTTATTTTATCATATATGTTGCATCGTTGGAGGAGCTCAGGTCAGAAGAATTTCATTGCCATTTCTACACTGTAGCTTTGTGCATATGACGATAAAAACCTTCTTTGAATCTATTGTATACCATTTAGTTCAAAATGTATTCTGACTTGTGTCAAACATGAGTTATAACCCTGTACACTGGGTCAAGTTGCTGATCCATAGGTTACCTTTCCACAGGGTGACAGCCAGCAGCTGGTGTAGTTTTGGGTGTCCCAGTTTGCCGGGCCCTCCTGTGGACCATTTCAAGGCTCTGGACACAAACGCTACCCTCTCCGGAGAGTTCGGCTCCATCCGGCTGAACAGCTTCGCCAGGCATTCTGCTCAACACACACATAACAAAAATCTCACCGTAAACATCTCGAAGCAAAGGGATTATTTTAGGTGTATTTGAAATCTTTTTTAAAAGTTCAAGGCTGCCACTTACCTAATAGTTCATCTTCAACTTTTACCTCAGATTTCTCAAACACCTCGAGCACCAGCATGGAGAGGTCTGCTGCGCTGTTTTGCTGGAGAAACACAAGTAAGGGCATCTTTAATTCCACATTTGACAAAGAATTTAATAACGTTTGCACAAGAGCCAGTGTGTGGCAGCGTTTCCGCCAGGGGGTGTCTTGCCGTCCAAAAAATAAATAATTAGAGAGTAGATCGAGAGTTTTTATCGCTTGAAATGACGAAAAGGAAAAAGGACAAGGACATCCCTCTGTTGGAGGGGCAAAGGAGTCTGGTGGGATTCTTTTCGCCGCCAGCAAAGCGTGTTCCTGTGACGGAAGGTGTACTGCCGGCGAGCCTTGACGGGGGGGTCTAGTGGAGCACGCGCGTGAACTGCGAGCGCCGGAGCCTCGCAGCGGCGAAACTGAGGCTCCGTGGTAAACTGTGGTAACATGAAGAGCCGTTTGGGAGCCGAAAGAGTCGGCTCTTCTTAGTGAGCCGAGCCAAATGATCCGGCTCACTAAAAAGAGCCGGAATTCCCATCACTAATACGTAAAGAGATAGTATCTATAAAGGACAGCTCAATTCAAAATTCAAGTCACGTGACGTCACCCCTCCCTCTCTCGGGATGGACGCCCTCTCAGTCCCGGGCTGCAGTCGAATAGTCCATTTAGCTTAGGAACCTTCCTAACCGAGTGAAATGACCCGGAAGTCCCTCAGTGGCAGCCATGATAAGTGCCGTTCCAATTCTCTAGAATGAAAGGAAAGGAGGTTTCAAACTTCCTTTATAACCTCCTTTAGCTTAGGAACCACTGGACCTCCCTAACCGAAAGGAGAGGAGAAAATGCTGCCCCACAATGCATTGCAGCCGCAGCATTTGCCGTCACACAACAGTCGGCCGTTCACGGAAACAACCGATTATGACGGAGAAATGATATCATGAACGTTACGGTGCTTATTAAGCATTTTAAAACGTATGTGGTAAGTTGCCAAAGTGCTTTGTTTTGAACGTTCATCAGTATTATAATCCAAAAGAGAAATATGAACGTTAGTTTTTACTGAAATGATCAAATAAAGTCAACATCTCACAGTCTTTACTGAGCTGTGTGGGGTTTGTTCAACTTTTAAAAGATGTTTGAATGGTGATATACACAGTGATAGATGTTAAGGACTAACGTTTATAATAAATACATCTGTATTTATTTTAAGATCTTTTCATAGTTCATACAATCATACGTATTGGGATCATTTGTATTAATGTGGACCGGAGGGAGAGGGTGACGAGCAGAAGCTTCACTTTTTTATTTCAATTCCAACTTTGGTCCTGAAGAATATGTTTCTCTGTTGTCCACGTTCATAAAGCATAAAGCAACAGCGTCAGAGCACGGTGCAGAGTCTCTAGATGAGTCCCTCGTTCTTATTAAACATCCATGTTGTAGTCCGCTGTATAGAGAACTATAGTTTCCATAGTTTCCCCACAGCAGCAGCAGACGCACACAATGACGTCCGCTGGCGCATCATAAACACATCGGAAAGTGAAAGTGCAGTCGGATTCTCTAAAGTACCGCAGTCTCTTCTCCTAAGTCCTTTTGAATTCTCCTATCCACTATCCCTTAACCCCGTGACGTTTCACTCAGAGGTCAAGGAATAGGAGATAGGGTTAGACGTTAGGAGCTGATTTTTAAACTATCCGAACACAACCCTGGTCTGGCGGAAACACTGGTGTGTGGCATTAGTGCGATGGGTCTCCAAACAAACTCTAAAGTGTCACCAGTAATAATCTGATATGCCTACTCTGGTATTAAAGTCAAACTAAAGTAGATAGTAAAAACAGTGGCCCAACGAACTTTGAAACATAACATTTTCATCAACCTATCAGGGGGCGTGTCCACGAACATGGGCACACTAATCTAACACTTGAAACAGGTTGAAACAAACCTGTTGTGGCCGGCTAATTGAATGTAACATCTAAATGTACCTGGTTATGGCTGAAGAAGAGTAGAGCTCCATTGTACATCAGCTCCCTGGCCTCAGCATGTTTTGCCTGTGACATGTACCTGATGAAGGGAAAGCACAACAAGCTGATATTATCTTACAACTGCTTTTCGAAACAGTCACACGCTTAGTTTGCATCACTCAAGAACTTTCCCGCATGGGGTGAAAGATAAGACCCATGCTGTGGGTTTAGCTTGAGGGACAAAACATGGTGTCATTGTGAACTTTGCAAATAAGTACAACAACAACTTGTTGGGCCAATTGAAGCATTTTTTTTTTTTTAGACGAACCAGCTTAAATTTAGGAGATGATTTACAGGAGATAATATTGCAATTGTAAGTGTTGGTCAAGGGAAGGACAATGACCAGCAGAAGGGAACACCCTCACTATTTGATATGGCGAGGGATATGTTTGGATTGAATTTAATTCGGAACAGATCACCTTATTTAGTTTACTATGCTCCAGGTATATATCAGTTTGGCAGCATTACTTATACATTTATTACGACAAACTGCTATGTTTCTATACATATATGTGCATGTGTGAATGTTCTTTAATTAATGGAAATAGGCAGACACTGGGTTTTGATCCTACGTGTCCAGCTGTCATGAGATCGTAATAAGATAAGATACATAGACTTTTTCAGCCCATCAGAATGTTAGGCATTGCACATAATTAAAAAAAAAGTAGAAAATAAACCAACAAAAACATCTCAAAATAGAAAATAAAACAGAACTGATATTTAAAATATATATAAGTTGACCGTAAATGAAACAAATGTATTCTGAGACAGAACATGCATTTCAGCTTATATTTTTAAAATGTATTATGCTAGTTTTTATCTTATATGTTTGTCTGTATGTATCGTTTCTTAATATTAAGGTGTGGAGAGCTGAACGTAAAGTAATTCACTGTTCTGTGAAACTGCCCAATTATACTTTATATATATGACAATAAATATATTGAATAAGTAGCTGTACAGAATAAATACATTAGGTAAACAGTAGAAAAAAACATGTTTTTAAATGGTCTTTTAATCTATATTTTAATATCGTTTTTGTATAGGTTTTTTTTTTAGCGTATTGGTTTTGCCTTCCTTTATTTTACCGAGAGGGATCATGCTTTTATAATATTGTGGTTTATTTTTATAAAGATGTATGGGTAGCACCTCTTAGCTCAGACTGCGGTGGTGCATAAGGTGGCTAAATGGCTACATGCTAACGCAGCTGGACAGCCTAAATAAGAAAACCACAACGGTTATGTTGTCTTAATGTACATGTAAAGTATGTTTTCTAATAACCCAAACACACAGAACTTCTGACTGTCTTGTTTTAGCAGTCTAGCTAACTCGGTTTTGGCCATGTATGTGTTGCTAAAACACGTAGCTAGCTCGCTAACTAGCATTCCCATTTTGTGGATTTTTGATTGACAGCACAGCTTGTCCACACAAACAGTCGGTCCAACGAGAGTGGGTGGGTCCGCGGTGGGATTCAACCAATCACGAACCGACAGGCGCACCAGCAAGGTTGACAGTGGAAGGATCTGGAACAGGCAGGCCCTGAAAAGCCAACTGACAGTTACAACTGCACATACAAAACGTAAGTCTTACCTAAAAAATAAAGTCCTGTACATCTGGTGTGCTTCATAGTAATCCCCCTTTTCTACGCTGGCTCTCAGTTTTCCTTCCACCCTCTGTACTCCTCCACGGTTTCTGGCACTGGAGCCCCGCAGAGACTCCGGCTCCGACATCGCTGCAAATGTTGACAGTGTGGGGAAGCGGAAAAGCCTTTAATAAAACGGACCCTCCTCGCTTTCCGTAGCCGGCGTGCTGTGGTTATTTGTGGTCGGGAAATAGTGAACACCAAAAATAACAAACTGATAATTAAAAATACAAACTTAGAAAAAGTACAACTCCAGGATAGAATCATTTATACTTCAAAGGTGGTAGTATAGATGCATTTGTTTGTACAGTTTTTTTTTTTTTTTAGGGAAAGGTCATATTCATTAAAAGACATGTTTACCAAGAATTAAAACAATGAATAAAAATGCAATCAAAAATAATTGTGTACTTAACACCTTTGTTTTCCTTTGTTGTATTACATTATATGTCTACCCAGGGGCGGATCTACGGGGGGCAAGGGGGGGCAGCTGCCCCCCACTGTAGAGCCTTTCCCCCCAGCTGCCCCCCTAACTTTTGTTTCCCTAAAACTGTACTAAAACAAACCTACACTATTTCCACAAGCTTCTCAAGCAACAAAACAAGCATTACATTAGTTAAAAGTGAATCATTTTAAATATCATTTTAGGCCCGTTAAAAACGCAGCTACGGCCCTGCATTAAACTGCGGAGCGGCGTTAACACAGACCGCGGTTCACACCGCTGCAGAGAGGGAGCGAGCTGTCCCAGCACCTATGGATCAGCTTCCCCTGGGAGTATTTCCCTTTTGTTTTGTTTTTACTAAGGACGAGAGCTTGAAACTAAATATTAATAAAACGCTGCCGTTTGAATCGATAGCGTTTAACAGACGGGCGCTATTTGGGGCGTTACGTTACAAAATACTACGCACACAGCGTTAGCTGGGAGATCGATCACTTTGCTAAACTACGCGGTAGCCTACTATTAAATCCACGTAAACTACACATCACAGCAATGAGGCCAGATCAATGAAACCAGGATACTGTGGTGACACGTTATTGGACATAATTCACCTTGCTTATTGTGTTGCCACACGGACCCTTTATTGGGGAACACCTGTAGCTTTAGCTGCCATTCCTGCTAGCTCATCAGGCAGAGCAGTGCATGTGTTAACCTCTCTGAAAGTAATGGATAATAAAGATTGGAACTCCATTCTTAATACACCGCCTCCGACTCTCTTTTCACGGCACTACACTGGTGACCCTGACTTTTCCGAGAAAGTTTCCGGAAAATTAACGAACATGGCTGAGCGCGATGTTTTCATAAAGCTGCCGGAATTCTGGGAGCACGCCGCGGAGGCATGGTTCGCACACGTGGAGGCACATTTCGCCTGCCGACAGGTCCGTGACGGGGACCTAAAATACTACCATGTGGTAGCAGCGCTGGGGAGCTCCACGTCGTCCAGGTTGGTGGGATTCATCGCAGCCCCCCCACATCATGGCAAATATGAGGCGATTAAGGCCCTTCTCCTTAAAGGGATAGTGGAAATGGAACCTCAAATAGTTTCGTTTTAACTTATATACAAGCATAATTACGTACCAAAACAATCACACCTGATTAAAAAAATATAATAATTGCCTTACGCATGTTAGAAGCACTTTATTGCAGCTTCCCCGAAGTTTTTTAGAAACGAAATGTTCGACTCAGCCAAACCGGAAGTGACGAAAACTCAGGAAGACGATACGATAACAAACTATGGCGTCTATGCAGAATGAACGTGGAAGGGCAAATATACCAGACAAAGAAGAAGGATTGTACGAGGTATCCAGTGATGATAGCGAGTCAGAAACATCCTCTCGGCTTTCCTACGAAAATGTCGTTTTAGGAACTGAATCTGAATCCGGTTCAGTAAGCGACGATGGTGAGAATATTGAGCCAGACGATGGACCATTACGTCCTTATTTGTTCGAGCCCGAGGTGATGGTTCACGGCATGGGCAATGGCGAGGATGACCAGGACCAGGCGCCAGATGATGCACCCCTACGCACAAATAATCTTGACTGGTAGGTCCCTAAGCATAGCTCACGCATCTTAAGATCACCTGTAGCCTTTACAAATATTAATCATTGTTAACCAGTTAAGCCCGAAGGTCCCCCCAGTGGACCCCTCCCACAGTTTTTTTTCTCTCACATGTCTCAGGGCTTCTTAACATTTATGAAACTATTAATGTTTCATACCCTTTTAAAGGTAAGAAACTCCGCTAACTGACAATAAGAACAATTGTTAGCTAGAAAAAAACACAAGAGTAATACCAAGCCTTTGAATTAGCATTGAGCGAAACAATGCTAACTAATGCTAACGCTTTTTTACACACAACACACGGTGGAAATGCCCTTATTACTATCTTAACTGCACAAACAAGATATACGATTTAAAGCTGAGACTCCACACATGTAATGTCATCACTGTAAGACCTCGGATTCCTGGAGCTATCAGCCAGAAAAGAGAAAGTAAACAACATCCGGTTCCAAAAATATTACAATAATTACGTCTTACCTTTTTTGATTTGTGATCAAAAGTTGTGTTCAACGGAATAAAAACGCATCTCAAGGTTAATCCAATGTCGTTGTGTCACGTAGATTTTTTTACTGATAATCAATCATCATATTTATGGCAATATACTTGGTATAAAGTATTGCCGTCTTACAGTCTTATAGTATTACCTATAGTGAACATTTCTGAACAAATTTCACCCACTGACGACGAATGGCTGGGTTTCTTGGAAACGCATGAGTCGATACGCCATTCTCTGCATTTGCTGTCGCACTACAGCCATACAAAACACATCTATTCACCATAATAAAGGTCGGCTATTCACATGCAAATGCTATTGAATGTCCGCCATTGTTTGTGCCCGTCTTCCTCTGCTCTCGTCAGCATCCGAAGATTCCCGACGATTCCCGAAGTATTTCGTTTCATTGAGAGGGCGCAGTAAAATTGAAAATAAAATGAAACTAGGCGCATGAAATAAAAAAAAATTGTTTATTATGCTTATTTTTAATACAAATACATAAGTTAAACCCAAAATTCGCGGATTTCCACTATCCCTTTAAGACATTTAGCTTATCTGCTAAGGAGAGGGCCCGCCAGATACTTGACATTCAAGGCCTAGGAGACAGCAAGCCATCCCAGCTAATGGAGAAAATGCTAAATCTGCTAGGGGGGGAAGATCCCCGGATTTTATTCACGGAGATTTTCCTGCGCCACTTGCCTCCCCGGGTACAGACGGCGCTGGCCAACACGCCTGTCACGGAGCCCCGTGCTTTGGCTGAGGAAGCGGATTGTTTTTTCCTGGCTACGCAACAGCCCGGGGCAGAGACGTTAGCCGCGACGCTCAGCGGCCCACCGGCAGTCAAGAAAGCGTGGCGGAGGCCGGACACGGCTGTGGCTAGCCGGCGTGGAGACGCCGGAGAGTGCGTTTACCACGCACGTTTCGGGACAAGGGCGAAGAGATGCATCGCTCCGTGCAGCTACAAACCCCCGGGAAACGGAGGGGCCGGCGCTCAGTAGTGGCTCAGAGCGTCGGCGGCACGTGCAGGCTCCTCTTCGTCAGCGACAGCGTTTCGGGGAGCTTGTTTCTGTGTGACACGGGCGTCGAGTGAAGACGTCGCCCGTGGGGGGCACGGACCGCGATTGACGACGGCTAACGGCAGTCCCATTCGCACGTACGGCGTGAGGCCTATGTGTTTGTGCATCGGAGGACAGCGTTTCAGCTGGGATTTTGTGACAGTGGACATTTCTTTTCCCCTCCTCGGAGCGGATTTTTTGTGTGCTCATGGACTCTTAGTGGACGTTAAGAATAGGCGTTTGGTTGATGCCTTAACGTTTTCTTCCCTCGTGTGCACACTTGGCAGCAGCGTACGAGCTGTCAGGCTCGCTGTCAAGTGCAGACACGTTTCTCAGACTGTTGGCCGAGTTTCCAGACCTGTCGCTACCCACCTTCTCTGCGCTTACCACTAAGCATGGCGTGGAACACCACGTCACTACCGGGGGGCCTCCTGTCTATGCCAGGGCCCGGCGGTTGAACCCTTCTAAGCTGGCTGTAGCGAGGGCGGAGTTCGCAGCCTGGGCATTGTCCGCCGCTCCGACAGTCCTTGGGCTTCCCCCCTGCACGTCGTTCCCAAATCGAACGGCGGGTTCCGCCCGTGAGGGGATTACCGCCGACTCAACGACGCCACTACGCCTGAAAAGTCCCGAAAAGTCCTGAATGTGCAGCACCGGATAGCGATCCGGTGCCGCACATTCAGGACTTTTCGGCGCATCTGGCCGGTACGGGGGTGTTTTCCAAGGTGGACCTGGTGCGTGGATACCACCAGGTGCCCATGCACCCCCTGGACATTCCCAAGACAGCAGTGATAACGCCTTTTGGACTTTTTGAGTTCCTGCGGATGCCTTTTGGACTCAAGAATGCCGCTCAGACGTTCCAGCGCCTGATGGATTCGGTGCTGCTGGGACCTGCCGTTTGTGTTTGTTTACCTCGATGACATACTCGTCACCAGCGCTTCAGTGCAGGAGCACCTGTCCCACCTCCGAGCCCTTTTCACAACGGCTCAACGAACACGGATTAATCATCAATCCTGCAAAGTGCCAGTTCGGGGTGTCGGACATCGATTTCCTGGGGCACCGCGTCACCAAGGGCGGTGCGACAACCTCTGCCAGCCGAAGGTGGAGGCTGTTGCGGCGTTTCCTCGCCCCGCTCACAGCCCGGTCGCTCCGTGAGTTTCTGGGGATGGTGACTTTCTACCACCGTTTCATCGCCCGGGCCGCACACATCATGCGGCCGCTGTATGAAGCGTTGAAAGGCAAGACCCCCGTCCAGGAGATCGACTGGACAGCAGAGGCGGACGGCGCTTTTGCTGAGGTCAAGACCGCGTTGGCTCAGGCGGCTTTGCTGGCACACCCATCATCTACGGCTCCCATCTCCATCACCACGGACGCGTCAGACTACGCGCTCGGCGCAGTGCACGAGCAGTGGGTGGAGGGCGCTTGGCAGCCGCTCGCCTTTTTCAGCCGCCAGCTGACGCCTAGAGAACGCAAATACAGCGCCTTTGACCGGGAGCTCCTCTGACTTTATTTGGCCGTGCGGCACTTCCGTTTCATG